TTGCTCTATGGCTCCCTTCACGAGAAGGGCATCTGCTTCTTGCTGGAGAATGCATTGCTGGAAAGGGTCCACTCGGGCTGGTCAGAGGAAGGGCTGATGGGAGCAAGAGAGAAATTTGAATGTGTATTCGCGGTGGATGATCTCCAGTACCCAACAGTCCATGGTGATCTTGCCCAAATTGTGAGAAAATAGGGCAAGATGGCCCCCAGAAACAACATGGAGCGCCATGGGAGGAGGTTTACGGGTATCGACAGGTTAAAAAAAATGGTGACTAACCTTCTGTAACTGTTATCCTTCAAGATGTGTTGCACGAGTCTATTCCGCTGTAGATGTATGCATGCCCTGAGCACAGTGGCTGGACATTTTTCCTTTCGTGGCACCCGTTGGAGCAGCTCAAACACCCTCTTGTGCCATGTACTCACAGCACCAGTATAAAGCATCCAGCTGACCCCACAACCCTCATTTCCTTCTTTCCATCCAACTCTGATGTAGAGGACTAGGAGGGCAGGTCACGGAATGGAGATGTGCAACACATCTCCAAGAACAACAGGACTTGTGCTAGAAAAGCAGTGGGGTGGCTTGAGACCTTGTGGAGTGAGCCATTAGATTAGCTGGGGGTGAGATGTTCACGAGTTTGTAATATGTCCCTATACAAGAAGTAATCCACAATGAGATTCTCTGTGCAGAGATGAGGAGACCTTTCATTCTTTCCGCTATCGCTATGAACAGCTGAGTAGATCTGTGGAATGGTTTATATATAGAAAGCCAAGGCCAGCCAAACATCCAATAAGTGGAGGCACTGTTCCTCTCTATTTGTATGTGGCTTAGGGTAGAAAACCGGCAGAAATACTGCTTGACTGCAATGGAATTGTGAGATGACCACTGGAAGGAATGATGCGTGTGGTCACAGCTAGACTTTGTCCTTTAAAAAGACCATCTATGGGGGCTCCGATGTGACAGCCCAGATCTGTGAAACTCTTTTGGCCGAAGTGACAGCCAACAGGAAGGCCGCTTTCCAGGAAAGATGCAACAACAGGTAAGTTGCTAGCAGTTCAAACAAAGGACCTGTAAGCTTTGACCGGACAAGGTTCAAGTCCCGGAGGGGACAGAGGAGGTATCGCTAACCTGGAGGTAAACCCTCTCCAAATCTCTGAGAAACTGGATGGAGAACTGCTTCCATGTTGCAAGGTAGGTGGCCCTGGCGGAGGGCTTCCTACTTCCCAATAGGACTTTGCAGACCTGCTCCAAGCAAGCTTGCTCCTCCGGATTCAGCCCTGGAGCTTCCAGGCTGCCAGATGAAGAGAGCTGAGATTCGGGTGCAGCAGCTGACCATGGTCCTGAGAGATCAGGTCCAGGTGCTGTGGAAGCCGTAGTGATGCCTCCACGGACATGACTAAGGGGATTTTGAACCATTGCTGCCTGGGCCATGCTAGGGCTATGAGAATGACCCGCACTTGGTCTCAGTTGATCGTCATCAGAAATTTGGGAATCAGAGGGATAGGAGGAGATGTGTAGTATAGATGTCTTGCCCATGACAACGGGAACATGTCTGTAAGAGACCACAGACTCTGATCTTACAGGGAGCAGAACGGATGACATTTCCTGTTGTGGGTGGCAAACGGGTCTATAAGCGTAGTCCCCCACCATTGAAAGATGTCTCTCATGATGTCCAGTCAGAGAGATCACTCGTGAGAGAAGAAAGACCTGCTGAGGCAATCTGCTGGCTAGTTCAGTGTCCCCTGGAAGGTAGGACACCTCTAGCCTGATAGAATGAGTGATGCAGAGCTCCCACAGGCGCATTGCTTCTTGACACAGGGGGAAGAACATATGCCACCCTGTCTCTCTTCATGTAGAACACAGCCATCATATTGCCTGTGAGAACTGAAACAGTCTTGCCCACTGTGTGAGGTAGAAATGCCTGGCAGTCTAGAAACACTACCCTCAGCTCCCTGACATTGATGTGAAGAGAGAACTCTTCTTGGGACCAGAGGCCCTGAATTCTGAGGGATCTTAGGTGGGTTCCCCAGCTGGGGGCTGATGTGCTGAATACTAAGGACAGGAACAGCTGAGGTCTTGAGAAGAGTATCCCCGCACATATCATGTGGCTGCCCAGACACCACGTCAGTGAGCTGAAGACCTGGGCTGGAACCATGAGCACTGAATCCAGGTGAGGGGGAGTATACCGTGACTACCTAGGCTTGGAGAGGTCTGAGATGTAGCCTTGCATGTTGTACTACATATGTGCATGATGCCATGTGACCAGGAGACTCAGATTCTTTTGTATGGTAATGATCGGATGAGCTTGGAGGGACCTTATCAGGGATGTAATTGAGCAGAACCAGTTGGACAGAATCAAGTACCGCACCCATGAACTCTATCCTTTGGACCATGGTAAGGGTAAATACCCTTTCTCAGTTGGCAGGATTGGTTCTTGAAATTTGGCAGCGGGTTTTGTACGGGAGTCTGGATCAGGTGCTGCCCAATGGGGCAGCGGTTCTCTTCTTTTGGAGGCCACTGAACTGGAGTGTCTTTAATAAGACCCCAAAATCAGGGGAAACCCCCATGTGTTCCCACTAGGCCACTCCATTGGCATAGGTCCCCAGTGACCTTTAGGCTAAGCACTCAATGGCATCCCTGTGCCTAGGTCCATGGTAGAGTAGGAGTGACTGGGAGACTGGTGGAAGCAACTCCTTGGATGAGAGGAGTATGACCCACTCTCCAACTCAGAAGATGAGTCTCTATCTGGTGACCCTGTGATCATTAATTGGCAAAAGCAAACGAGACAAATGCCCAGTTTTGCCAAAAAGGGGCAGTGAGTGAGCAGTGGGGCTCAGGCCAGCCCTGTACGGGGGAGGAGGGGCTCAGACTAGCTCTGCAAGGGGAGGGGATATGACTTGGGAGAGTGGTTCAGGCCAGCTCTGTGGGGGGAGAGGGGATATAGTCCCACCACCACAGCCGGCTCTGGCTTCCAGCCTGGCCAGGAGACAGGGCCTCAGGGGGAAGAGGAGGCACAGGAGGCAGGGTCACAGTTCTGGCACTGGGATCCCCTCCACTTCTATACAGGTCCCAATGCTCCTGTAAGGTTCCAACTCAGGCCATGCAGTGAGCTGGAGACCTATTGACCTGCACAACCTATCATACCCTCAGCTACCAGCACAAGGTGATGCACAACACACGTGCGGTTCAATGAACACTGTTAAGAAAACCTACCAGCTCAGACACCTGGCGCACATGCGCACCCCCATGTTTGGAATACATGTAGGAACCATCACTCAACAATGAAAAACAAATTTTTTCAGCTTGCACAGAAAATGGCAACATGTTCTTAATCTTTCTTTTCTCCCATCTGCTCCTCCTCAACTCCATGTAAACAAAAATGTTCAAATAAGTCACGTTAGTAAAAAAAAACATTGTATGGGATACAAGCCTGATCTCACTTGGAGTGATATTTCACTTCACCACTCTGACCTGACTGCGCAGGAGAGCACCATACTTCATCTTCAACAGAAGAAGGGAGACATTGCTATAATGTGAAAGGCTTGAGGCTAGTGTGTGAACTATGGGGACTGTGATACAGCATGGCCAGAGGGCAGCAAGAGAGGGTTAGAAGAGAGCCTTAGTCCCTGTAGAGGGAAGAAAGTTTGCTATAGATTAATTAAAACACCTGAAGCCAGTCACCTGATTGAAGCAGGGTTTTTTTTATCAGACGGGGGAAGGAGTTGAAGCAGAGTGGATTAGTGTTGGAGCAGAGAACAGTTTGGAGGGAAGCAGAGGAAAGGTTGGAGAAGTGCTACGGTGGGCTAAGAAGACCAAGACCCTAGGTAAAGGGACACCTGGCTTTTGCAGAGGGAGGGCAGGAAGCCCCCACAAGCTGAAGGTCAGGACAGGGAAGTAGCCCAGGGGAAGGAACCGCTAGTTCAAGTGGTTTACTGCTATCCCTAGGGTCCCTGGGCTGGGACCTGGAGTAGAGGGTGGGCCCAGGTCCCTCCCTCTCCACTCCACTTCTCTAGGACACTAGTGGGGCAGTTAATATCCCAGCTCAGGGGTAAGAAACAGTGCCCTGAACAACCCCCCAAGAAGAGAAAGCGCGAGACCCATCATAGTAGTGCCGGCAATTTGCCACAGGGCAGATGCAGCATCTGCCAAATGACTGGATGAAAATGAAAAAGTTGCAGTTCCACTACCTATCCACAGAACTTGTGATCCCAATAGCACAGGTTCAGGGACATTCCTGCCACTATCCTCACTGGAGAAGAACCATCAAAGACCATGAAGAAGAAAAAACCCACTCAAATGCAAAAGCAAATCTGTTCCACTCTAGAGTAGAAGTACCTTGTCACAGGGGCTCAGCAGGTCATGCAGAGCCATCCTTGTTTGCCCAGTGCAGGGTTAATGTACCCCATCACATAGTTGTTGGGATTTCTCATTGAGTCAACAATCACGATCCAGGGGCAGAGAAAACAAATAGGCCATAGTCCCTGGGGTGGGTAAAGCAAACACTCAGTCTGTAGCCCCTGGGGCTCCTGGCCAGGGCAAACAATAACAGTTGGGGCTCTGACCCTCTAGGCAGGACAGAGTGAACAATCAGTCTAAATCAGGAGTCCCTGGTAGCAATGCCTAGTGGCAACTGTGGGGGGTGGGGATAGGGGAACCTGGGCCCACCCTACTCTACCAGGTTCCAACCCAAGGCCCTATGAAGCCAGTGAACTCCCTATTAAGGGTTCAAGCCTCAGCTCCTAACACATTCCCTGGGTCACTTCCTACCATAAAGCCTATCTTAGGCATCTCCTCAGCTGGCAGCAGCTCAGCGTCCCTGTCAGTCTCTGGTCAGCTGATCGTCCATGATCCCATCAGAGGGGAGGGATAGCTCAGTGGTTTGAGCATTGGCCTGCTAAACCCAGGGTTGTGAGTTCAATTCTTGAGGGGGCCACTTAGGGATCTGGGGCAAAATCAGTAGTTGGTCCTGCTAGTGAAAGCAGGGGGCTGGACTCAATGACTCTTCCAGTTCTAGGAGATAGGATATTTTTATTTTAGGGGGTTGGACTAGATGACCTCCTGAGGTCCCTTCCAACCTTGATATTCTATGATGGATATTGTTGTTAACTCGGGGGGGAGGGGGCTCAATAGTATTGGCCCCAATTCTGGTTTGGAGGGGTGGGGGGACGATCAATAAGCCCTCTTGGGCCTTTCAGGCCATTAAGAGGTTGACATGGTAGACTCGAGTGCTTTGTCATCACCTGGGTAAGAGAACTTCATAGTCTACCGGCCCGACTCTCTGGGTCACCTCAAATGTTCCCTGCCACTTGGCCCACAGCTTGGACTTGGAGGAGGAGAGCAACAATAGTACTCAGTCACCAGGTTCTGAGGTCCAGAGCTGGGTCCCCCAGTTCTATCGTTGCTCCTCGGACTGCTGGGCTTTTATCAAGTTTTTGTGAGCCAATGCTCCGAGCCTTCTGTAATATATACAGGACCGACCCTCTGATCCGAGACTCCTCCTCCTCCCAGATCTCTCGGAGGAGGTCCAGGATACCTCTGAGTTGCCTCCCATATAGCAGTTCAAATGGAGAAAATCCTGTGGATACTTGGGGCACCTTCCACGAACTACAACGCAAGTAGCAGTTTGTCCCGGTGTCGCAGGTCATCATCGATGAACTTATGGAGTACGGATTTCAAAGTCTCGTTACCATTCTACTAAACCATCAGTTTTGTGGGTGGTAGACGGAGATCTTCAGGGAACAAATGTTCAATAGCCTGCACAAATCCTCCATTTATTGCAATGAAAAGTTGATTCCCCGGTATGTTAGTATCTCCCTCAATACCACGACCGAGGCAAATATTTTCAGAAGTTCCATTGCTATGGTGTGATAGTTGACTGCAGCAGCATGGCTTTGGGGTAAAGAGTCATGAAGTCTACCACTACCAATATGTGGTGGAACCCTGACCCACTTTTCTCCAGAGGTCCCATCAGGCCGATACTGATCCTCTCAAAAGGTACTCCCACCACTGGGAGCCAGATTAGGGGTGCCCTTGGGGATTCATTTAGGGCCAGCACATTGGCATTCCAGACACGAGGAAAAAAATCACTCAACTCCTTGTGAATGCCAGGCCAAAAGAATCTAAGGGCCATTCAGTGTAAAGTCTTCTCTCGTCCCAGGTGGCTGGCCCAGGGCAACGAGTGGGCTAGCTGCAGCAGACCTCGTCGGAACCTCTCAGATAGCAGCAGCTGCTGGAGTAACTACTGGGTTTGTGGATCTCAGATTATCCAGTATAAATAGTCATTGTGGACCTCGAAGCTGAGTCCCTGGGGTAACCATTGGTTGGCACTCCCTCCTCCTTGGGGTTGGTCACTTGTTCCCATGCACGACTCAACATGGTGTCTTCTCTCTGCTCCCTCATAAAATCTCCTTCAACAATTAGCCACTTGCTCCTGACTTCCTCTGGCACCACCGTCTCGACAGAGTATGATCCAGGGCCTTCCGATTGGTCAGGGGGCTCTCCCTCCACTCTCCTTTTGGCCTAAGAGCCCCCTCAAATGTGGTCTCTGATTTGTTTCTGCTGGCATTTGGTCTCCCCACTCATTCATGACCTTCCCAACCCACTGCCAGTCCCATCCCAGGATCACAGTTTATGCTACTGTCATGGCCAGACCGACCCGGCACGTTTCCTTGTGACCATCAACCTCCGGCTTTACCTTAGTGGCAGGTATGGCCGTACATCCCCATGGATGCACTGGAGATATATAGGGGCCTCTGTCCAGTCCAGTGACTTCCCTAGGTTAACCTGTATGAGTGTCTGGCTGTACCCTGAGTTGACCAGACTTGTTACTGGGGTACCGTTGACCAGCACAATAATCAAAAGTTCGGGCAGGCTCTCTCCGGGTCTGCGGGCCTGTGCTTGGCCATCGTTACAATCCATAAAGGAGCAATCTGAAGTGACCCTCCTAGTCACACTCATAACATCTGTTTTTTGTTGGCTCCATTGCAGGGTTGTGTCATGATGGTCCAAGCCTGTCGGGTGGAGTTTCCCCCTCCCAGGGTCTCATGCTGGGGTTCCGGGCAGCTCCAGGGTTTGGGGCTACTATACGCAGCCCAGATCTAATCCTTCTTTGGATTTGTACTGTCTCTTGCACGGGTCCCTCCTACAACTCCCAGGTTTAGGTGCCTGGAGTCCAGGACCCTCTGTGGCTAAGTAATCTTCCATCAGAGATACTGCCTCCGTAAGAGTCGTCAGATGGGGTCGATGTATACACTCCTTCCCCACAGGGGGAAGGATCTGCGTAAACTGTTCCAAGATGACAGCCTCTGACACTCAAGTTCCCATCAGCTTCTCAGGATCCAACCACTGCCAGCAGTAGTCCCTGAATTGCTGAGCCACTGCCTGAGGTCAAGCTCTGGGGAGGGTATCTCTCCCTTCGAAATCGCTGATGGACCGTCTTGGGGTTAACCCCGGTGTGGTCCAAGATGACTGCCTTCACTTTGGCTTAATCGACTGCCTCAGTAGGGTGTAGGGTTCTGGTAGGCGGTCTGTGCGGTCCCGGTCAAGTATGGGGCCACTAGGGTAGCCCAGTATTCAGGAGGCCAGCAAATCATGGTGGTGACTCACTCAAACATGACCAAGAAGGCCTCTGGGGTCATCCCCAAGCCCAATGTTGGCAAGTCTCACCGGTAACTCTGACAAGCGTTCTCTGTCCCTCGGCCCGATGCAGTGGCGCTGGGCAGCCCAGACAGTTGTAGGAGCACCACCATCTGCTGAACCAGGCGCTTCTGTTGGACTTGGTGCTGTGCTGCTAACTCCTTGATCTGCTGCTGTTGTTCTTGGTGCTGGGCCATCTATTGTTGTTGCTTGGCCATCTGCTGCAGCAGCTGGGCCTGTTGTTGTTGGGTTGCCTGCTGCGGCTGGTTTTCCAGCACCCATTTTGGGATCCATACTGGCCATGGAGTTTTATCATCGAGTCCTCCCCTTCTTGGCCCTCTTAACAGGACTCGACTGTTAAGGACAGTCAGAGGCTCTGACCCTCTGGACAGGACAGAGTGAACAATTAGTCTAAATCAGGAGTCCCTAGTAGCCACTCCTACTGGTATGTGCAGGGCTAGGGAAACCCAGGCCCAAACTACTCCACCGGGTTCCAACCCAGGGCCCTGGAAAGCGGTAAACTCCATATTAAGGGTTCAAGCCATGGCTCCTAACACATTCCCTGGGTCACTTTCTACCACGAAGTCCATCTCAGGCATCTCCTCAGCTGGCAGCGGCTCAGCGTCCCTGTCAGGCTCCATGGCCAGCTAGTCATCCGCAGCGTAGTCTGAGTCCACGGTCCCAAGAGCCTGGTGAGTCAACAGTTCCTCTGCAGAAGCCAGCAGCACACGTCCTTCCTTCTCTTCCAGCAGCCCCGACTGACCTGTGCGGCCTCCTTTTATCTGTCCCCTCCACCTGGAGCCTGTGTAACAGGAGTGAGGGTGTGCGGTCTCCAGTGACTGGTCAGCACCTGTTGGCCATGTGCAGGGTTGATACTCCCCATCACATACCTGAAAGTCAAAAAGTCCCATAATGAACATATCTGGGAAGGCTGGAAAGAACCACAAGGGAAAAAAAGGCATTTATAAATCAATTCTGCCTGCACCACCTCCAAAAATGCTGTCCAATACAGCGTCTAAAAAGAGGGTTATAATGAGAACAACCTAAATGAAATGCACACCTTCTACACCTACAGACCTCACTAACCCTTAAAGCAGAAGTCGCCAAACTGTGGGGCACACCCCCCTGGGGGGTGCAGAGGAACGTTCAAGGGGGCCCGGCAGGCCCGGGCCAGCCCCCACAGGGGGAGGGAGCGCCTTCTGACCCCCTTACCCCTGTCCACATCCCCCCACTCAAAGCTGCAGCCCCGCTCCCGGCCCTGGAGGGGGGGCACAGACAGGGGTAACGGGGGGGGCACAACTCTCAAAAGTTTGGGGACTACTGCCTTAAAGCAAGGCAGAGAAGGTAGTTTGCTCACCTGCTTCAAGGGGTTAGTAAGGTTAGCAGCTGCAGCATGGAAAACTTGATCATCTCAATTCATCTTGATACAGAAATAGGATTAAATGGGATTTTCTGAAAGGCAATGTTTATATTTAGGGGGCTTGGTTGGACATTACTCTGCTACCCTAAAGGGTAAAATGTGTCCCTTTTGTAGACCAGGAAGAGCCATCTGCTCATAAGCAAGTGCCTTCCAAGTATGTAGGGGGGAAATGGTCCCTTCTCTTGAAAGATCTTTGACAGCTGTTAATGTACATAACAGGGCCTAGATGCTACTAGGAGAGGCTCCAAGGACAAGCAAGAGAAGGAAGGACCCATGTCAAGCTAGAGTTGGGGGGAAAATGCAAAGTCTTTCTTCCTCCCCCTTCTAGCAGCTGTAAAGGGGAGTAGGGTACAAAGTAGAGCGAAGACATGAGCTTAACAGACAGGCTTGTTGGGTTATGTACTATCACTTTTCTCCCTCTCCACACAGCAGCCCCTAAATAACCATTACCTGGTCTGCGCCAACAACATCCACATCTTCGCCTACATCTTCTGCTCCGTCTTCTGCTCCACCATCTGCTGAGAAGTCTTCTGCCTTGATCACATCTTCGCTGGAATGAAAAGCCGAGTAGTTTAGTTCCTGGCCTGGAAACACACTTCCCTTTGACGGAGGTTCTACTTAGGATGCCTTTTGCTTGCGGTGCTAAAAGGGAGGGCAGATTTTAAAGACTGCATGCACATGATATTAGTTGCTTTTAGGATTCTTGCATAAAGTCTTTGGCCCAAAGTGGAGGAAGAGCTTCATTATATTCTGATAAAAATGAATTTTGATTCATGCAACTTGGCATCAAACAACCAAAAAGTGTAAAAAAAATAAAAATAAAACAAACCACCTATGAGTGTGTTCAGTAAATCCATTTAAGGAAAGTGGGCACTGTCACCCTGAAAATTGCATTTCTGGCTGGAGTTTGTTTTTTCCCTTTTAACCTGACAAGTGACATCTCAGATTTCTGTAGCCGAGATATTACAGAGAAAATATTGCTTTGTTTGTCTGTGTGTTTCCTTGGTGCACTGGATGGCACATGGAGTCTAGCCAGAGGCCCTGTTCTGTTGAAGGTGTTGGGCACTTCCTCCATTATGACATGTTCTGTGTGGAGCTCCCACACACTTGGCCTCAGACTCTGCAGGAAGGAATTCACCAGTAACACAGCAGCAGATGGTGTCTCCTTCTCCAATTCCTCTCTTAGGAGTAAAGAGGAGCTGGGGGTGGGTGGGACAGAGAAACAACCCTTCCTCATTCCTAAACACAGGGCTGGGTAGTAACTGGTACCTGGGAAGCCCCCTTTGCTCCCCACAAAGGGTTAGGGAGTGATTCAAATCTGAGGTGAGGGGGCTGGAAAGCCCCATTCTTCCCTCTGCAGCCCTTTCAAGGGGACTGGGAACTATAGAAGTCAGGCAGGAAGCCTCCTCTTCCTTCCTCAGCTGCCTATAGGACGAGGGAAGTCTGGGTGGGTAGGGGGGAGGGTTGTTCACTTCCTGTAAGTCCAAGAGGAGAACACAGAAGTTGAAAGATAGAATCAGGAGGAACGTATGGCCCCAAGCAACTGCTCTGTGGCAGCATTGAGAACACAAGGAGTTCCCCAAGGCGGAGACTGTAAGGATACATCTTCACTACCTAGTAATCGATCTATCGGGGATCGATTTATCGCGTCTCGTCTAGACGCGATAAATCGATCCCCGAACGCGCTCCCCGTCGACTCCGGAACTCCACCAGGGCGAGAGGCGGAAGCAGAGTCGACGGGGGAGCCGCGGCCATCGATCCCGCGCTGTGTGGATGCAAGGTAAGTCGATCTAAGATACGTCGACTTCAGCTACACTAGTCTTGTAGCTGAAGTTGCGTATCTTAGATCGACCCCCCCGCCCACAATGTAGACCAGCCCCAAGACACTGCAGCAATTGCACACAGTTTTGCAGTCTGCATATTTGAAAAATCCCAGCTCTCGCAGGGGCTTGTAAACCATTTTTCCCTCACCTATGTCTTCTGCTCAGTCCCACTGGACCAAAGAATGGCAGACATTCTTGGAGACTTGTATCTTGAGACTTTAACTTCTTTCTGCTTTTCCCTGCTGCAGCAGTGAGTTCTGGAGTGCACAGGAAGTCTGGAGTTTTGTTTGTTGTCTCAGTGTGGCTGGTTTCAGGCAGGGACCCTGTAACAGACAATCAATAGCACTATTCTTCATCCTCGCTCTCCGAGACATTGAGAGAAGAATACTTCAAACAGCTCGACAGAGAGGAAAAAGCAGCATTCATTACAATGGGTGCAGTCATTGTGGAAGCTAAATTCATGGGGACACTCTGAGCAAAGCATTCATTTTAAAATTCCACTGTGTTGAATGACCCAGCTAAAATCTATACAAAAAAACAAAAATGACAGCCAGGCCAGTGGCTGATTTTGCACAGCATGCATGAGATCTCCAGCTTAGATTTCTGGGCTCTGACTCTTCCTCCCCAGACCAGAGGGCATTGTCAGTGCTGTACAAACTGTGCACGTAGCCCCTCTGGAAAGGCAGACCACCTTTGTGACATGCTGCTGCAACACCCCATGTCCCCATAGATACTGGGCTCCGAAGGGAGTCCCATCAACTCCTCAGATGAAGGAAGGTGTGCAAAGCACAGCCCTGAGAATGGCTGTGAGCCAGAAAGGAGGAATTAAAGGATGTTCTGGAGAGGATTCCCTTTGTTTCTCCTAACAGAATACATCCCAAAATGGCAACACTAAGAATCTATCTTTAGCAGTTCTATAAATAAACTGTTTTCATTATCAGAGGGCTTCATAAAATGTATCTAATCCTCCCAATACCACTGTGTGGAGTCAAGTAATATTATCCCCATTTAGACATGGAGAAACTGAAGCAGGGAGGTTAAGTGACTGGGTCAAGGCTACAGAAGGCATGAATGACAGCAGGGACTAGAACAGAACTCGAGAGTTTCTGGCTCCCATACTCAGATCACAGGACCAAGCCTCTCTCTAGTGAATGATGAAAACAACAACTCTGAAGGGAAAAATATAGGGTTTAGAATGGCAAGTCTACAACAGCCCATGCACTGCAGTATATTAATGCGATCTGTTAAGAAATCCATTTTTACTGAGGAAACAACTAATCAGATTTAACAAGCTGGTGGAACTTTCATACCATTCGACAGTTTTCTTTTAAAAGAAGATGTCTTAGATCTGCTTGTGGGTGACCATTCTCTTAAACTGCTGATAACAGAATTCTCCTCCTCTTCATTTGCCAGCAAAGAGTTCCTGTACCACACTAACGGGTGCCATTCATCTCCTCTGCAAGATGCTGGCTCTGTTATATACCTCTGCAGGTAACTGTACCTGGGGAAAAATGAGAAGTATAAGAAAAATCAAAGTCTCTTCTATAGCTATCTAGGCTAGCCCTTCCTACACTTGGTTTTTTTCCCCTCTGCTCTGCAATTAGGGAGGCAGAACCAGATCCATCAAGCAACAGAAAGAGGGAGGGCCTGGCGCCCCCTTCCAGGAAAACAAATCGGTGCGTGTGCTTCCGAAGCTGAAAGATTGCTCAGAACATTACAAACAACGTTTGATTCCCAATAATTACAGAGCCACATCCATCTTTTAGTACAATTTCCTACACTCTAGCACAGGGAAAGTAACGGCTTGTTGCTGCTGCCAGGAAGCAATTTACTGGGTTGTTCTCTTGCAAGATAACCCCTCCCCAGCAACTGAAAGGTCTAGTCCTGCCTCTTCAACGGCAGAGCGGAGGGAAACCCAACTGAGAGGCATTCCCTTTGATTTAACAGCAAGACAAAATGTTGCATCAGACTCAGAATTAGGAACGGGGGGGGGGGGCCTCAATCCCTTCAAGCTACAGCTCATCACTTCCAATCCAGCCACCCCTGCTAAACCAGATCTCACCTTAGAACACACACACACACACACACACACACACACACACACACACCGTAGAACTATTTTAATTAAATTT